CTTTAAACATTTACATTCAGTCATACTAGGCTAAATACCTTAGTATGGGTGTAAGTGAAGGTTGTGAGATTACGCCAAGTGTTAGTTGATGTTTTCTTGTTAATAGCAATTTATTTCGCTATTCATAAGTGGTACTAATATTTCATCTGGTAATCTTTGACAAATTGACACATGTTATTTTATTCAGATGAGTTGGACTTAAAATTAAGACAATACAAATATTTTTACTAAGTATGTTATAGAGGCTATAAAGAGTCGCCATAATCTTATGGGTTGCAAAACTATATGGAAAGAAAGGCAAGATTTGTACTAGTTTGGTTTGATGCATCACCAAGTGTACTTCCAACATATGGTCTAATCTGCACTTCTTTGGAAGGTCGTTCAATCCAGTAGTGTTGTAAAGAGTTATTTATAGAGCAATATACACTTCATTGCTGAAATTCAACCTGATCTTGCATCCATACTATCTTTTGATTATTGTTTCATTTCAGTATTTGGTTACCAACTCTCACAAAGATATTTTCTCTCTGAAGCTTTATTGCTACCAAAAACCCTTTTATGAAATCTCACTTTAAAGTTAATTTTTGTGACTCTCTTTGGACGATACTTGCTTTGGACGATACTTGTAAGCCATGTATGCTTGCATGAATTACTTGTTATTATTGCCTTTTGAGGGTATAGTTTCCTCCACACCAAGTTTTTGGCGCCGTTGCCGGGGATTTTTAGCCAAAAAGATTTATCTTTAAGTTACTTTAAAATTTGCTTATTCTACCATAAAGTGTTTATTTTTAGTGGTTTATGCCAAGGATACCTTACGAGACTATTTTTGAGTTAGATTCGGACATTGAAAGAACCTTTAGAAGGAGAAGAAGGGTACAAAAAAAATTGTTGCCTATTCTAGCTACTCCTAAAATGGCTCAAGTCAGACCTAATCCAATATTCCAAGTTTCTTCTTTAATCTACAAACTTTTCCACTGTGCAAAGCCTTGGTAAATATGTTAGCAACTTGGTTTTTTGATCCACAGAAAGCAACTTCAACTTCCAAGTTCTAAGTAAGCTCTCTAATGAAGTTAAACTTGATATAAATGTGCTTACTTTTGCCATGAAATATTGGATTTCTTGTTAAGTCTATGGCCGACCTGTTGTCACAAAAAACTTTTGTTGCATTACCTTGAGGAACATCCAATTCTTCTAAAATACCTCTAAGCCATAGAGCATGACAACTAGCCGCAAAGAGGGCCATGTATTATGCCTCAATAAAGGACAAGGCAACTACTTTCTGTTTTCTTGATTGCCAAGATATAACCCTTGATCCCAAACTGAAAATATAACTCGTCGTACTCTTGTTATTAACTAAGTTTCCCCCATAACCACTATCTCAAAAGCCTTTCAAACTTGGGTCCTGGGTTTTAGTATAAATGATTTCATGATTTAAAGTTCCTTTAACATACCTTAGCATACGTTTAGCAGCATTCCAATGACTTTTTGTAGGGGTTTACACGAATCGACTAACCAAACTTACGAGAAACATGATATCGGGACTTGTTGTTGTAAGATACATGAGGCAACCAACAAGACTACAAAATAAGTTAGAGTCAATTATTTCTTCCATATCATTCTTAGTCAGTTTTAGAACAACTTCCATCGGAGTTGATGTAGAGAGAGAATCACTCATATTGAATCTATCAAGAAGATCTTTCACGTTTCTGAGAGATGGAAATTTTACCATCTTCTTGCTTTGCTTCAATACCCAAGAAATAATGAAGAAGTCCTAGATCAGACATTTCAAATTCAACCTTCATTGACTCTTTCAATTCATTGATCATTTGATGTGAGTTATTAGTGAACACAAAGTTGTCTACATATAAACAGAACACGCGTAGCATACTTCTAATTTTCTTTATGAAGAGAGTATGCTCATAATTGCACTTTATGAATCCATTCCTTATAAAATATCCTTCGATCCCGCTATACGAGGCCCTTGGAGCCTATTTTAACCCTTAAAGGGCTTTCTTCAAGTGACAGACCTTATGATCTTCTCCCTGTTTTCCATACCCACTTGGTTGATCATTGTATTCCTCTTCAAGGTAGCCATTTAAGAAGGCTGACTTCACGTCCATTGGATGGATACTCCAGTTATTCTGTGCAACAAGGTCTAAGATAAGTCGTATCGTCTCAAGTATGATAACAAAAGCAAGGAATTGTTGATAGATTATTCCATATTGTTTCTTGTACCCTTTTACAACTGATCTGGCTTTATGTTTATCTATCTCACCCTTCTCATTAAGCTTAGTCTTGTAGATCTACCTTACACTGATAGATTTTTGTACCATGGGTAATTCAACCAATTACCATGTCTTGTTCTTCAATATTGAATTTATTTCACTATTTATAACATCTCACCATTTCTTGTTACGACATGCATCTTCATAATGTAAGGGATCAACATCAACAAATATTGCAAAGTCTTCTACATCATCAAGGTTCAATCTCTGGGTATTTTGATACAACTATCCGACTTCATGTTTTTTTGTTTTGTACACTAGACGATGAGGAACTTTCTGAGTTTGTATCCAAGTTCGTATCAGTAGAACTTGAAGAAAGTTCACCATTCTATCACAGGAGAAGAAGTATTCGTTGGAGAGGATGTGATACTTTGATCATGTTCATCAATTAAACAATTTTGCTCGTGATTATCTTCATGAATAATGCACGTACTTTTATTATCATAGGTAAGTCCATTCCATGCTTTACCTTCATCAAAGATCACGTCCCTGCTCGTGATTGCCTTCTTTATCAATGGGTTATAGTACTTGTATGCCTTGGCATTTTTACTGTATCCTACGAGCATCACCTTTTCATATTTCTCGTCTAGTTTTCCCCTTCTTTGACTACGTACGTGAGCATGATATATACACCCAAATGTTCTAAGAGGAATTGCACTAGGCTTATAACAACTCTAGGCTTCTTGGGGTGTTTTCTCTGACACACTTTTGGTTAATATCCTATTGATCAAATAATCAGCACATGCAATGGCTTCAGCCCAAAATACATCAGGTAGATCTTTACATTTTAACATGCACCTTGCCATTTCAATGAGCGTCTTATTCTTCCTTTCAGTGACCCCAATCTTTTGGGGTGTGTAACTAGTTGTAAGTTGATGATGTATTCCATTTTTCTTCAATAAATTCTGCATATTAAGTCCAATATACTCTCCTCCATGATTAGACTGTAGACACTTGATCCCGTGTTCACTTTGGTTCTCAACCAAGGCTTTAAATGCGATAAAGCAATTAAAGGTTTCTGAATTTTCTTTAAGGAAATAGATCGAAACCTTTTTGCTGCAATCGTCTATAAACGTAAGATAATACCTACTTCCTCCAATAGACATGGTTCTCATGGGACTACAACTGTCTGAATGTACTAATGCAAGGGGTTTTAAGGCTCTCCAAGTCTTGTCATGGGAAATGATTCACTTGAATGTTTCCCCTGAGCATATGACCTTCACATACTTCATGTATAATGTTAACAATTGGTAAACCACGTACCATCTCATTTTTGTGCATGTAGGTTAAGGCGCCAATATTTACATGTCCAAATCTATGATGTCATAGCAAGGAGACATCTTTTGAACTCATGCTAAGAGAGAAGAAATGATTAAAGTCAAATCTTATAGGAAACAGTTTGTTTGAAATCATGTTCACTTTTCCAATCAAAGCATTTGTAGTGTCTCTTATCTTGCAAAGTTCATTTTTTAAAATGCAAATCATAGCCTTTAATAACAAGTTGTCCCACACTTAAGAGATTATATTTCAGCCTAGGCATATAAAACACATTAGATACTTCTTTTCTTTATCTCTAATTTTAATGTAAATTTCTCCATTCCCCAAAACACTGAGTTTTTTTATCGTCCCTGGTTCTAACATCTTTCTTAACTGAATCTTCCAAATTTAAAACAATTTTTTGTTACCTGTCATATGATTGTTGCATCCATTATCGACATACTATAAATCGTCTTGTGGTGAGTCTTGAATATTAAGCAGCATGAACATGGAGTCATCATCTTTACTTTCTTCTTTGTGCATGAAACTGGATGTCTTGTTCTCTTCTGCAATGCTTTTTTTCACATAACTTGATTATATGACCAAATTGTTCATAGTGTTAATATTTTATTTGGGAGAGTGGTCTACCTTGGCCTTTGCCCTTGAAAGATCTTATATTTTGATCTTCCTTAATCTGTTCGAAATTCCTCTGCCTGTTGCTTGAACTTGCTTCCCAAGATGACTGTGTCTGGAATGCATGTTCCACAGTAGGTGATTCGAACTATTTTATTCTTAGTTCATGGGATTACAACATGCCTAGAAGAACTTCTAAAGAGAAATCAGACAAATCTTTTGATTCCTTAGTAGCTACAACAACATATTCAAATTTCCAGTAAGACTACGAGATATCTTCTCAACCACCCTCCTATCTTCGATGGTTTCGCCATTTAATCGCATTTGATTCAATACAATGATAACTCAATTGTAATACTCCTCAATGGATTATGTTTGTTTTATTTTTAAGTTGTCGAAATCAAATCTTGATGTTTGTAATCTCACAACCTTCACTCTTTCTTCCCCTCTATATGATTTCAACAAAATTTCTCAAGCTTCCTTTGACATTCTAGACGAAGAGATCATTTCAAAAATATTTTCGTCTACTGCTTGAAAGATTAAGAATAATGCTTTCTTATCCTTCTTCTTTGTTTCCCTTAACATGGTTGTTTGTTGTGCAGTTAAGGGTGTGGGATTTCCTGGTTCTCTTACTCCATCTTCTACAATTTCCCATAGATCTTGCGATTCAAATAGTACTTACATTTGAATACTCCAGTGAAAGTAATTCCTGCCATTTAACTTCAGTAATTGTGGATGTATTTGTAATCCACTTTCAAAACTTGAAGCTTTGAGACGTGGCTCTGATACCAATTTGTTGTAAATAGATGAAGATTCACAATATTATTATACACATAACATTGATACATTGAGAATACATATAAGATGCAACAACATCAATACATTGAGAATACATACATAATATAGAACGAACCATCACAACCTTTCAAGACACCCTTTCAAGGTTGATAGTTAAGCCCCCATAACGGTTAACTAATAACCATAATAAATAGCATATTAACTACCTATATAAGAGGTCTAGCTTATAATCCAATAATTTAGACCAATGGCAATATATAAACAGGATTCACATAAATACCATGTTGAACATATGTACGCATCGTTCAATTTTAAGTAATATATGTGATTAACATATATAATTATGAATTGGAACTTTTTATCAAGTTTCACAGGCTTCTTCATTTTCAATCTTCATTTTCTTGAGAAATGTCTTTCCATTGAGCTTGCCCGAAAAGAATTCCTTGAGGTACTGCTCCATTACGAGTGTTTTATACAATGGCGGGTTTCTTGTGTTCTTCAAGAGGCTCTTTGCAGGTCCAACGTCGGCTTGAAACTTTGGATTGAAGAACATGGCCAATGAAATCCTCTCTTTAGTTGCATGAACAGTCGCTCGATGCTCAATGCTGTTGTATGCACCATTGCTCATTATCTGCATACTCATTAAAGTAATTACTTTGAGTTTAAAACTACCAACCATAGGAACATATAAAATTTATTTGGTGTGTGTTGGTTCGACATTGCCAAAACATTATAAACTTTGATACAACATATATATATATATATATATATTATACATTATATGCATAAAAGACTTGAACTCCGACCTATGCATTATCGAGATTAAGTAATACAATTAGACAATTAAAACTCGATTACACCTTAACCAAGTCAAGGTTGTGTTGACGATTGTGATACAAAACAACAAAACACAAAAATCCAAGAAAAACAAATGATACAACAATGTCTTATTATCAAGCACGAGTACGCACAATTATAAAGATGAAAACAATAAGTTTTGGAAAATCTTGACACTGTTACGTATTGTCTGACTTTTCTCTAAAATCAAACACGGGAGTCCGTCTTCTAATTTTACAAACAGAATCTTTTGAATTAATTTTTGGCATAGCCGTACACAATAATAAATCCAGAATTCCTAGCTTTTAGCAATCAGATCGAATTGATATTCTTGGATGCTATACATGGTACAAATACCCCATTGGATTTTGGCTTAGGGGTCGTTTACTATAAGATTTTAGTCCACCAAAACGGTATCGTATGCAACAATTTACCCGGTAAGCGCTTACAATGGTAAGAGTCATCGCCCTCACTTACCGAGTAAGACTCTTGGTCATTGTCTCGCTCTTACCAGGTAAGATTTTTTATCCTTACTATATTCATCCGTTAAGATAAAATGTCTTGATGTTCATTTATCCAGGTAAGCGTTTGGTAAACAACCCTTATTCAAGTTCAATCCTCTTCTCTTTTGGGACGTCCCACCAGGTTGAACCATGTGGTAGGTACCAAATATATATTTCCATAATAAGTTTATAGTGGTTGAGTATGTAAACTGAACCACGTTGTATACCTTGACTATAAAATTCACAACACACGTTAATCAATATAGAACATTTAATCATATGTGTTTTGGGTCAAACATTTAACCTATTTGAGATGGACTCCTAACCATAAAGTAAGTAGTCGACCTGATTTCTAACATAAGGGAATCAAATGTATACCCACGTTGAAGACTTGCATCTAAAAATAACTTGTCGATTAGTCGATTTTGCACTTTTTATATATGCTTTTCAATTCATATTTTGGTGGGTTATCGTTTTCTTGAATATGAGGTGGTGAAGGAGAGACCTAACCTCAAGAACATCTCCGACGTTTACGACGAAAGCGTTTGGAAGGAAATTTACAGGAATCCATATGCCGTCTTTCTTAACTTGCAGACCTTCGATGTCGTTAACTTGAAGAAGAATGGTGATGCCGGCAGCATCAGAGTGAGGGGTAAGGCCGATAACTAGATCCGGTTTAGGGCATGGAGGATAGTAAGTCATCCTCACTGATTGCATTCCATCTTCGAAAACATCCGACATCTCTTGTTTGTCGATATCTACTGCTTGCCCGATTAAATGGAACAAAGTCATGGCAAGCCTTTGCAGCTCTTGCATATAATCCTCGAAGGTATCTCTATTGAAAGAATCGAAGATAGTTAAAGATACAAGGAAGCCAAAACAAACGCGGCTTTATAAGACGTTAAAAACATCTGAATGTCTTAATAGATTGTTTTATAGGACTTGCGTTTATATGGTCAAACAATTGTGTATCTTTATATATATATATATATATATATATATATATATATATGTCACAATTAGATATTAAGATGTATTTGGACATCCTAACCAATTTTTAGGACACTTCTAAAGTGTCTTATTAGTTTTTTGTTGAGAAAAGAGTCATATGAACAAAACACTTTGCTTTTGCCTTATAAGACATATTTTTTAATAATCTATACTATATTATAAAGCATTTGGTAAAAAAAATTTAAAAACCATTTTTTATGCATAACGTACTGTTTATTAATGCATATTACTTAAAACTCAAGATTATAAGTAAATTGTGCGTAAGTACAACTTATTAAAGCTCCATATCTTAATTTGTATAACTAACCGTAAATAAACATAATCAAATACATGACAAACATCTCATTTTAAATATAAAAAATCTGAAATACAATTAGGATAATGATTGAGTTCTAACGATACTTACTTATTATCTTTATAAAATTTATATTATTAAACAAAAAATAAATTATTTTATTATTAAATTTAAATTAAATTATAATAAAAAATAAACTAAAAAAATTACATAAAAACTGAGAACTTTTAAATAGTTGATTTGATATTTATATTGATAAATTTTTTTTTTTCAAAATTTTATGATATCTTCAAGTTTATATTTTATTTAAAAATAAAATCATTATTGCTTTCTGAAAAACACATAAAATCGTATTATGACATTGACGGAGACAAATAATAAAATAGAACATTAAACTCGAGATGTGTCTCACTACATTGCGCGAGTACTCTTCTAGTGTTGTATAAAGAGACTATGTTTTATTTTAAAATTATCCTCAATGTGTTAGAATGTCTAAAAAACGTTTCATCAACTTATTTAACAACGGTCATACGATTGTTTGATCCTATAAACTAAGTGGAGTTCATTAAGACACTAAAATATTATTCGACGTCCTGAAAAGTTGATTTTGTTGTAACAAAAATATACGGTAACAAACATATATATATATATATATATATATATAGAGGAGCGATCAAATGAAAACCACTCCAATTTGTAAAAACAGTAAAAACTACTTTCATTCGTCGATTTCATTGTTTAATCTTATGAAATTTTTTCATGAAATTGTTTAATCTTGTGAAATTGTTTCATATAATACTTTTTTTGATGAAGTTGTTTCATATATGGTTATGAAATTGTTTCATATACTACTTAATGAAACTGTTTCATGTATTTCTCTAAAATTAATGAAACTGTTTCATGTATTTCTCTAAAATTAATGAAACTGTTTCATGTATTTCTTTAAAATTAAAATAATGAAGATGATAATATTCATGATTAACATCATCCACAATAAAAATGATTAATCAACCTCTCATAATTACAAAAAAATGAACAAAATGAAAAATTATTATTAGTTGAATGAAGTTTGTACGGTTTGTACAAATTATGTGGTTTTTATTTGAACGGTACCCCATATATATATATATATATATATATATATATATATATATATATAGGGTTGGGTTCACGTGAGACCAAGAGTTTTTCGTGAGACCCATAAGACCAATTTATGTTCATTGATCAACTTTATAAGTTATTGATCTAATGGTTAAAAATTATCATTAAACTTTAAGCTTGAAGGGGTATTTTTGACCTATATATTTTTTCTTTCTTTAACCTATATATATAATCTAATCCAAGGATTGAGAATTGGTCTTACGGGTCTCACGAAAAACCTTTGGTCTCACATGATCCCAAGTCTATATATATATATATATAGAGAGAGAGAGAGAGAGAGAGGCTTTTTCACATATACAAACTTAGAGAGAGAGAGAGACCTTAGTAATGAAGGAAACTGGGGAAGTAAGTTGGATTTTCTTCTATGAAGAGGATTGGTGATCATATAAAAGCGATCAGCCCAATCAACCTTCTGATCTTGATCATGGAGTATCGTTTGACCATACCCTTCATATTCACCTTCCTTCAACTTGTATCTCAGCTTCTCTTCCTCCGGAATCTGGAAAAATTCCACCATCGCCTCTTTCATTTTCTCCACCAACAATTTGTCAACTCCATGATTCACCAACTGCAGTTGAATTCAACTTTCTGGTCATCTGCAATATATATAGATATATATACACACATATATATATATATATATATAGAGAGAGAGAGAGAGAGAGAGAACGTAAGTTTGAGCTACTTGATTAACCTGAAAGATTCCCCATTCATGGCAGACTGAGCGTAGTTTGTTGAGTTCATCCACAGCATCATCAGATCCTAGAACAATCTTGATCAAATCATTCATATCAATTACAGGAATAGAGGGCAAAGGCAAAGAGCCACTAGAGACAAAGGTGGGTTCACGTTGTTCCTGAACATAGCGGTGAGGAACCTCCATTTTAAGCTCTTTTGCAAGCTCTTTAAGGCTCTCATGGCACCGTGGCAATGGTTTCGAAGAAGAAGCCATTTCAAGATTAGGTTATTACTAACAAGTGTAGGAATTGATCTTGTCATCCGACAAATATTTATAATGCTGTATAGGTGTTTGGATGCGTACAAAAGACGACATAAAGATATTGTCGACGTCATTTAAATATTGCGTTAAATAGAAAAAGGGTAATGCACTGTTGCAAGAATTGACCAACACAAAACCACACGTGCTTTATATATATATAGTTGCATTTGCATATATGGGTTTGCTGGACTAAGCTAGAGTAACTAAACTAGTTAGATTTTCGGAGTTGCGTTATGATGTCACGAGTTTCACTCGTTTACACGACTCTTAGTTAAGTTTAAAACCCCATAAGATTAATGGAGGTACGGTTAAGCTCATCCAGATGGTTAAACTTAATAAGAAAGGTCAATTGTTGCTGTAAATGGAAAATGGTTGGCAGAACCCTATACAGTAGCTTAATTTGGCAGCTCTCTCACTGCCAGGTACTGGGTGTATTTGTAAAAAGAAGAAGACAACTCGAAACCAAACAAGATTGCTAAAAAGGGAATTGAAGAGGGGGGAGATAAGTCGGTTCATGATTAAAGGCATGCATGACCGGTTCATGCATGTAGAAGACAAATTAATGTATAAGTTTATTTACTTTTTCTTCTAAGTCTAGTCTTTACAATATTAATAGAAAAGTTGAAGTCTTTATAATATTAATAAAAAAAACTCAAAATAGTTTTTGAAAGCAAAGACATGTAGCTTTTATACCATAACATGCATGTACAATAAATTATTACTCAAATTGACCTATAACGTATTCATATGTGAATATCAACAAATTTAACTGCAATGGGATCATTGATTAAGAACGAGAAAGAAAATGCATTCTCCATAGATATTGTAGTTAGTACCACATTCATTTGTGAATATTAACTAATATAAAATCATTTACATTTATTCAATTAATATGCGGATAAACTTATATACTATACGAGTGTGAATATCAAATGTAAAATGATGTTCGAGTATCGTGTGGATATGAACGGCATCACGCACATGTATAATAAATAAATACTCAATTTTACTTGTAACATATTCACATGTGAATATCAACTATACTGTAACAAAATTATTAATTAAGGAATAACAAAAGTGGATTCACAATAAATATAGTAGTATCATATTTACATGTGAATATTAATATAAAGTCATTCACATTTTAGCCAAGATGCACATTAGTTTATATATTATTCACACGTAAATTACAAACAAAACAAGTAAATTATTGATGTGAGTGTATATAAAATTAAATAAAATGCTTGTTTTTATGATATAATTTATTTTTACATCAAAGATTTGATGAAATGTCACTTATTCCTAGAATCAAGGAGTTTTCTTGGTTGCTTTAATTCTAATTTTGGGAAATGTGTTAAAATGTTGTCTTAATTTTTCTTAATATTGATTACAATCGTTAAATGAAAACATAGATGTATAGATATGTGATAGTAAAGTGCAGTCAAAATTGGAGTCAAACAAATTATAACAATAAACGAGCATTTCATTGTCTTTAATCTAACATCCAAATTGTTATATATATATATATATATATATATATATATATATATATAGAATAAGTGTTAGGTGACAAAAAAAAACATGGCCCTTCACCTATGTGTCAACTACCTTCATCGATCTACATTCATCATCCTTCATCTTCACCTTTATTTTCACCTTTAGGGTTGTTCAATTGTTTTTCATTAAGCTCTGTATGGACTAAGTTGTTTGTTCAGATAAAGTTGCCTATATGAGTTAAAGTAAATTATTGTTCGGTTGTCATGCTAAATAGACTGTCTGAACAATAAAAATTACCATTTTACTCTTAGTTTTTTTTCATTAATCATAAGAACCACAACTCTAGTTTGTTGTGTTTTTGCTCAGGGAAATAAGGCTCTGTCAAGAGAGATCTGGGCTTCTTAGAGCAGAGGTACCAATTTCCTTTTTTATTATATATTCCGAAACTTCTACCGGAGGGGCTGAAGGATTGATGATGGAGATAATATACTCTTTACATATCCAAAAGACCTAATAGAAAAGAAGAAAGATGACACGAAGATGAAACAGACGACAAATTTTCAAAACCCTAAAATCAGAGTGAATTGAAATAAACATGGCATAAAGGACAAAATCATACATAAGCGGAAGCAAATTGAAATAAATATGAAGAAACAGACGCCCACATCAAAATCCAAGACCGAGAAACAGATCTAGGAGTAGAGATGGAGGAGTTAATCAAGTACATCAATCAATAAGTAGGCTTGAACTTTGAATCAACCAAAAAAGGAGTACATCGAGAAGCAGAGATAGAGAAGGACAATATGTGGAATCAAATGGCAAGAACGACAACGACTTTGAACTTCATATCAACCAAAAAATGGTAGATCTTAGGCTTGCTTAAGCTTCAAATCAGCTTAGAAAGGAGTTGATCGAGAACGGCGTGGTGGGTTCATATGGGAACAACATAGTGTGTGTTGGTTCGTATGGTAAGAACAACAATGATAGAAGAAGAGAGGATGGAATATGAGACGGAAGAGGGAGCAAGGTAGGGTTTTTGAGTCTCTGGTATGTTTTTTCTAATGTTCTCCATGTTTAATTTCACAAGGATAAAAAGTGAAAAAAAAACATTTGTTGTTGTATGGTGTGGACACATACTTCTTGTTGTATAGGGGCTCGCTCATTCAAGGGGAAACTGACTAGTTTGTGGTAACCGTGAGATCCAATCTCAACCACAAATCAATAGATAAATTAAGAAATTCATAATTTTTGTAATTTTGAATTAAAATTTTAATGCAAGGACATTTTAGGTATTTTCTCTCCACTCTCCATCCCCCGTCCTCCGGTCACCGTTCTCCGGTGATACCACTGTGATACCTAAAAACATTGACTTTGTTAAATAAAAGACACAGTGTGATACTCAAACACATATAAGATGCATTGTAATACCACTGATCGACCACACAAACGACCTCAGTATGATACCCAAGCACATGTAAGATGCATTGTGATACCATTGTGGTATCATCGGAGGCCGGAGGATGGAAGAGAGGAGAAAGGAGAGTTTTAAAATACCTAAAATGTCCTTGCATTAAAACTTTAATTCAAAATTAGCAAAATTATAAATTTCTTAATTTATCTATTGATTTGTGGTTGAATTGGACCTCACAGTTATCACAAACTAATTGGTTCACATTTGATTAGGCCCCTATATATATATATATGTATGTGTGTGTGTGTATGTGTGTAGGGTTGGGTTCACGTGAGTCGGGCCTTTTTCAAAAGACCATGTTTTTACGTTTGAAACTTCACAACAAAAAGGTGTGAAGATAAAAAAGAGTCGAACCTTCACCGCAAAAACACTGTGAATGTTATCTTCACAGCGTTTTGTTGTGAAGTTTCAAGTGTAAAAAAATGGTCTCACGAGAACAAGTTGGTCTCACGTGATCCCAAGTCTATATATGTATGTATGTATGTATGTGCGGGGACTTAATCATTTAAGAACTCCAAGTTTGTGAGATCTTGAAGAACTAATATTAGCCACAAAATAATTAATCCAACGATAATTAAATTTATACCTTAATAATTAAATAAAAGGTAAAATAGTAATTAATTAATTAGGTTACAACTTAGCAAATAATTAAGGACATTAATAAAACTTCACAACGGAGGTTCTTACAAAATCTCAACGAACCTCATTTTCCATATTTTTCTTTGTCACCTCAACAAAATAAAAACTTTAATAAAATTCCACGTGAAGGTTCTTACAAAAATCCTACTCTACATTTTTTTTCTTTATTGAATATAATTTTATTTATAGATTATTATATAAATTTAGTATATATACATATATATATATTGTAAAAATAATCAAATATAATTTATAAATTTTCACTTTTCTGTATTAATTTTATATATGTTATCAATATATTTAAAAAATTAACTAAAACATAAATATAATTTTATACTACCATTAAACAAAGTGCAACATTACACAAATATTAATCTTTATAAAGAGTAACAAAAAATAACCGATAGTAATATAAGTCACTTGTAATCTTGATTCAACCAAGTTGAAACAAAGTTGATGATAAACTTCATTTGAACGTATCTCATTATCAGTTTGAATATATTTGTATAATTTTTGGGTAGAAACTTGAAAAATTTATGTCAAATTATCTACCTCTTGGTATATTTGTATCATCTAAATACATAGACGATTGGTTATTCTTTAAGAATAGAAAAAATGTATTTTACAATTATTAATTTATGATTCATAAAATTATTTACTATATATATATATAAGTATTTAAAAAATAATCTAAATATGTTATTAAGACAACTAAAAATAAATTTATTAAAAAATGTTAACGAAAAATAAAATAAAAACTAATAAATATATTTTATATTTACCTTCAAAAAATATAAATATTTTATAATAATTAAAAAAATTATAATTTTTGTACTAATTTTAGCTTATATTCTTATAGATTTTTTAAAATAAAATAAAATGATTAAGACAGCAATAAAATAAAAAAAAAACATAGAAAGAAAATTAGATAAGAACCCTAGTTCTTGTTCAAGCACTTGGTTTCTTATAAGAACTTGGTGACTGAACAAGAACATTTGTCTTACAGTGTAGGTTCTTATAAAAACTACAACAAGAACTTCAATTATGGATGCTTAAATCAATTTCCTTAATTTTAGCTTATATATCATTTTATCTTAGTTTTTTAAATTTCAGAACCAATAATTCCTTCCATTTTACATATTTTCTTCTTTATAACAGTAAATCTTTCCAGTTATATTCACTATGTGTTCACCTTGTTAATATTTCAGATCCATCTCTTATCCAATAAGTGTCAAGTACTTTATTCATGATGTGCTCACCAATGTTTATAGTGCTTTTCATTAGGTATTCACAGTACTGTTCATATTGTGTGCGCAAGTAAGCTAATTTTCTTTTGCTTACTTT